TAGTGCCAGGGAAAGCGTTAGTGGGACCTGAGTCTGGTGTGTCAGCCTGCAGGAGGTAATCGGCTGCAGCTGTGTGGCCATGGGAGGTGTCTGGTCTGACAGGGATCCTGACACATGCTCTAACACGATTAATTTAAAGATGATAACCAGAGAGCATGATACTGTCTAGATGCTGAGCATTGGGAGAACCTTGTTTACTCTTTAGCCTTCTGGTGTTGTATAATGAAACAGCTCAATTAGATCCTTAAAGAAACACCTACAATGGTTTCAACACAAGCAATTAAAAATTCATCTTGGCCTTTCAGTCACCCGCTTGTGGCATCATCAAGCACACAGCATAAGGGCAGAGAGACATTAAGACTGAGAGCGATAGGAGAGACAGGAAGGACTGATGTCTCTTTTTTTCTCGGAGGCGTGAGGAGGTGGGTGCAGAGCATTTTATGATATGACAAGCTTTAGATGTTAAATTTAGCAGCCAGACTTAACCTGCATATGGTACATCAAATGTTACCAAGCAGCCATGAATATTTACCCACATTTTTCAGTATGTGTGTGGCAGAATCCTTATATTTGAACAAAGCAGTAGGCTTGCCTCCCAAAATCACAGAACACTGATAAATAATAGAACAACTAAAACATTTTTATGTAGTTGCCTTCATAGGCATTGCAATGCCGATGCACATCATATTCTCATCAACATGTGCTGGCAACAGTATTCATACAATGTACTGAGATATAGACGGAACACAAACCATACCAGCTTTAAAAGCTTGTCCGCACAGTGTTCGTCTCAGGCACAGCTTCGTTGTCGCCATGTGGCTGCATTAAGTGTTCCAGCATGTCACTCTTGCTGTTTTTACATTTCAGTTTATTTACAGAATAAACAGTAACGGGATGCAGTGTGTCCTGCCTCCAGGCTAAATGGTAGTAGTTCTAAAAGGGTTGGGCGCATCCCCTTAGTGGGGCGCAGAGGCATGACAGGTGGTAAAACCGTGACATGATGCAGAACTAATCATTTGACATCAAAAACGTTTTGAAACACGAAACAAATTGCAATGGTGATGATTGCGAAAGATGAGCCTGTAGGCTTGGTTTACAGAATTAACCGATATTTGACAAGGATGAAAAGATACAACATACGATGCTTCTGAAACGAACAAGACAAAGTGCACAGTGATGGATATCACAAGAAAGTATGAAAGTCAGGCTGTACCGACTAGTTCAAAGCTTCATTCATAACATTGACAATTGTGTTATTATTATCAATAACTTACTGAAACATTACCAACCAATTTCTCTTTTTCTCTCTCTCAAATACATTTATAGTGAGACTGCATTATGTAAAGATCAAATATGTAACCAAGTTTTTAAAACAAAGAAACAAGAGCAAACTTCCTGATGTATTTTTAAGAAGCTAATTAGTTTCTTCTTTTGATATCAAACAGGAAAGAGGATTAGCCAATTCCCAAACTAAATGCATGACACTCTCACATGGCTCTTCAGAAATTGTTCCCTGGTTAGTAGATATCCAGCTTTTATTTGTTCACAGCCATATTATACCTGTACACAAATAACAAATAAGGGCTAATAATGGCAAGTACATGAAACCCCTGATGGTGCCAGAAATGGTTGCTATGAGATTTGCGGTGCAGCAGCAGTGTGTTCCCTGCACTGCCTGTATCAGATCATATCATGCCTTTTGTTGTTCGGGTTCAATCCACAGTTGGGGACTCGTCATAAGGGGATTACTGTGTACTGGTCGGCCATCCACATTCACAGTCTCACATCTTTGATTTGCTTTTGTTGTTTTGCCAGCATACTGTTCATTCCACCCACTCGCACAAGGGAGAAGCTGAAGATAGAGACATGGACAGGAGACGCGTATGTTGCAATAGCCATAAGTGGCCACGTTGTATAGGCAGTAAGCTCTATTTTACACAAGGGTATGCTGCGGTCAATAAATCAGATCCATCTGCTGGTGGTAACTGCTCTCGTACAGTGTCACCGTTGACTTCCACGTTTATAATCTATGATTGAGGGTTGAGTGCTCACTGTGATAGGAGTTTTGGTCCGGCTGCTGTTTGTGGATGAGGCCGATGGCAGACTTGTGGATTCTGGTGGAGTGCAGATGGAGCTGAGACCGGCCTAATGAAGCCTGGTTGCTGAAACATGCCCCAACTTGCTCGAAGCTGCCAATCTAGCTAAGGCTAACAAGCTAGGCTGTTGCTAGCAGGCTAAAGTTAACCCTGTGGTTTGTAGCCTGTTGGTAAATATGCTAACATATAGGCTACATGAAAATAAATACTAATGTTAGAATTTCACCCAACGGAAAAAGCTTGAGCTTATGACTTCTTCATTAAATGAATCAATTTATTTGTCACATAAAATCGTACACGGTAGCGTTACTACTCTAGTGAAACGTAGCAGACAGCTAGTGACAGCACCCACCTGTCACTCAAAGCGGCCTCGCTTTTAGTTATAGTTATATCTAGTTAATAACTTTAAGCCTGAATATAATTTAAAGAGGTGAGTTAAATATAACTGTACCCCCCCCCCCCCCCCATTTAGTTGTCATGAATTGGGATAGATATAGAGACCAAAACCGTTTTTTGTACCAGCTGTAAACATGTTTATTTCTTCTTTAACATGTTTTAATATGGGGGTCTATGGGGATTGACTCCCTTTTGGAGCCAGCCTCAAGCAGCCAATCAATGAACTGCAGTTTTGGCACTCCTGTGTTGGCGTCATTTTTCAGCGTGGAGGTTGCCTGCTCGGTCCGGACACACTAACCTCTCTGATGTCGTCCTCCTTTCTCTTGCCATCTCACTTGGAAAAGGTCAGCATGTCCGTGCGGTTCAGGCCACTAATTGGGACTTGGAAGAAGGCTTCATTAATTATAAATATAGAGTATTATCCTGTATATACTGAATATATACATGTAGTGTGTGTTTGTGCTGAAAGATGAGGACAGCAGAGGAGAAATTGAGGAACAGAATATTATGTTGCTTTATTTCTCTCTTTCCACCTGCAAAATACGGCTTGGCGGTATGTCCTGAAATTTATTTTACGGTATGATTTTGAAGCATGAACAATAAAGGTGTATATATAATGTTATATTTGTTTTTCCCAAAATGTCAATATGAATGCTTCTGAAGGGGTAGAGCACTGGTATGGCAACTGTATGGCATAATCTAAACCATCCCAAAGTCAATCTAAATGTTATCTTTTGACTTTGTTATTCTAATCTATAGTCTTCTTCACTCTCCGACCCGTGTTGTGTTTGTGTGGTTGTGACGTTGTGCCACTGTGTGAACGTAAAAACTATCGTGTGGCACATGTGACAAGATCTGCAGTCGAGTGATCCGTGCATCTCTAGCATCTACCAGTCAGCACAGTGTAGTCAGAAATGACACCGTAGGGCAAATTCATACCGGTGTACTTTCTATACCTTCCACCTCTGCTGCTAAATGTCTCCGCCAGACACACACACACACACACACACACACACGCACCTATTCATGCACAACCAGACATCTCATTGCTGTCAACAGTATAAATGTGACTCTGATTACAAAATGCTTTGTAATTTGAGTGCCATGCTGTTATGTTGATACCAGTCAGGGTTACTTTTCATTCTGTCTGCTTCTGAGTTAGAGACAGTTTTGCAAACTCACAATTGGGAATTTAACTAATTTTGTTCTAGTTCCACAATCTTAATCTCTGTCACCTTTGTGTTTGACAGATGGACCGACCTTGTTGTCATAAGTCGATATAATTCAAGTAACACAGAGGCCTTCCTCTATATCAGATATTTTAACACTTATTTTTGCACAATTTGTTCTATTTGATAGGTTGTTTGATTGAATGTAGCGATGCTGCTCTGCTGGATTTGCGTATCAAGTTGTTAAATGCTACTGTGTTGTAAAAATACAGATTATGGCTGAAACATTGCTTTAAAGAATGGTTCACATTTTGTCTGAAATATAATTATCGCCGCCATTCTGCCTCATCTGATCTAATAAACCTTTAAATTCATGGATCTGTTACTCAAACTGGACTTCCTGAATTGTATTTTATCGTCTCACCTGTACCCAAAACTATGCACCCACACAAACGCGCAAACCCTTGCCTAGTTTTACTGCAGGGCGTTTTTTGGGATGCTACCTAATTAGTCAGTATAGCAATAAGACATATTCACAAAAACAGGATGTTATTTTTCTGCTTTTATTTAAGTTTGTGATTCTAGCTCTTAATTTATACTCCAATTCCTCATCTAATTCTGTGCTGTCTTTTCTTCCAGGTCGGGTCCCGCCAAGGGACCCTCATCCTCTCCAAAGCTGCCAGGAAGCTGCGAAGCACACGGCTCACAAGGCCCTGTGCCTGACAGCGAGTCATAGAACGGCGCTCAGGGATTTGGAATCCTGGTTTAATTAAGAGAAGAAGATCTTTCTTAAACGGCAAGGAAGTCTTGCAGTTATTAGACTCCCGTAGAGTTTTCATTCAAAGACTTTAGTTCATTGATTTAAGTTTATTTTTCACTGTAGGATCTATCACCAGGGTGCAAATAGAACTGTGGAGCTCCAGCTGAGGGGGACTCACAGACCTTAAGTTCCTTTTGTTTGAAGGTATAAACTTCTCTGCCATTAAGGCTTTCCCTTGGGTTAAAAGGGCAATAGTGAAGGTCAGTGTTCCTTAACTCCCTCTTCCCGGGTCTTTGATCCAGTGCCATCTCCCTACTGGTTCATTCTTCAACTCCTCCACTCTTGACGTTGAGGTTTTTGTGGGATTAAGTATTAAGCCCTATAGGACACCCTCTTCAAGAAGTTTTTTTTTTTTTTTCCAGGAATATACTCAAGCCAAAACTTTAACCAAAATAACCTCCCGGCGGAATTCAGTGAGGGAGAGAAGAGAGCCGGAGGAAAAAGGAATAGAGGGGGATTGAAGGGCAGAAGTCTCCGAAAAACACCAACAGGATGAATAAAACATTTGAGTAGAGAGGGAGTCGTGACATCTGGCTGAGGAGCGAGTTAGACGTTCTCCTCATTGCCTCTCTCTTTCTTTTTCCCTGTTCTGTCCACTCTTCATCTATCCATCGTCCCCTTGTCTCTGTCCCTTTGGTGACTCGAGGGTTCAGGCGGTCAGACAAACAGACAGAAACGAGCCCCGTAACTCGACCCCCTCCCTCTACCCTCTTCCTCCTCCCCGACACGGTGTGTGATGGTGTGTCCCCTCCTCTCTGTCCTGGAGACATGCCTGTGCAGGAGATGGCGGTGAGTCCTGTCAAGTCCCTGTACTGGGAGCAGTTCCCCCCCCATGTCACAGCGCCGCGTCTACAGCACTCCCGTCTACCACGAGGGCCTGCTCTATGTGCTGGGGGGCTGCAACGAGACCGGCACGCCCCTGGACAGCGTTGAGGTCCTGGAAGTAGAGAGCCAGACGTGGAGCCAGCTGCCGCCGCTGCCCACTGCGCGGGCGGGGGCCTCGGCCGTGGCGTTAGGGGGCCAGGTGATGGTGCTCGGGGGCATGAACCAGCAGCAGACCCCGCTGGCCTCAGTGGAGATGTACCACCCCGACGAGGGCAAATGGGAGACGAGGGCCAGCCTGAGTCAGCCGTCCATGGGAGTCACCACTGTGGAGAAAGGTAAGGAAGGGGAATGCTTTGTGTGTAACGCTGCTTTTCATCCCAGATGTGCAACATTGTTGTCGGTAAAGATTATTGATACGATTATGGTGTGATGACTGATCGAAATTGCACTGACTATAAACAGTGCACGCTGCTGGTTATTGTTTATGTTTGTTTTGGTACAAGAACACGCAACAGGTGGCATCCTTGCAGGATTTGCTGTGTTGTCTACCAGCATAACTCCAGTCGTTACTGACCAGTCTCTCTGTGTGTTGTCTAGTCGTAAGGTTTGTGCTCAGTTTAAGCAGCTGCAGGTGTAGCGGTGTTCAGCTGATTTTCCGACTTTGAACCCAAATCCGCTGACCCCCATAATGGGTGTCCATTGATGTACTCCCATTGACAAAAATGAAACTGTGAAAAGACAACAATGGACCATTTGTCAATCATAGCTGAACAACTGTAACCCAGCACAGCAGAGCTGGTTTTAGAATTCTGAACATGGATACGTGGAAAGAGCAATGCTTGGCATGTTAAGAGTTTGGAGGATGGCTTACCAGTTACCTACAGTGCCACCACAGCGTTGCCCCCAGGGCCAGGTCCAGGAGTTAGCTATCAACATTATTATTGGGTTACATCATAAAAAGCCCCATTGAGGACCATTGCTGGATGTTACACTATCAAAGTTTAAGGTAAGGTAGAAACTGCTTTGTTGCATCATTACATGGCACTCAAGGCATGTAGCCATCAAATGCTCTTTGAGTCACCTGGAAACCAAAGAAAGTCAGCTGGAAATTTTGTTATCAGCTAGCTGGCAACAGTTGATAAAATATCTGACGAAGAATGAACAGAGAAGCTGCTTTTGTCTGCGCCTGTCTTAAGTCAAGAAGCCATTGTAGAGAAGAATAGAAGTTTATTTTGTACATTTTCCAGACTTTGGTTAAACAATCTCTCAAACTTCTGCTCTACAGGATAGGTTGTGCTTTATATTACATCTTTCATTCTATTCTACATTTCGGCCTGAATAATTGCTTTTCCTTGGATGACTGGATGATTGTTGATGTTTGTGAGTAACGAGGTGCTCTGTAGCGTTCCTTAATATTAATCATCCACATACACACGAGATGTATACAAATTTTCATTTGACAGGTTTACTTGATCGCAGCGCTTTTTCCTGCTCTGATATTCTAAATTTGTCAGTGCGGGACGACTGTGCCTTCACCCCATCAATTACTGCCAAAACCTTCATGCGGGCTCATTAAGAACGGATTATGCAGCTGCTTTGACATATTCACAAGACTTTGAAACAACAGCGGCGCCAAAAACTCCTTCCTCTGAAGCAGCAAAGTTAACTAATTAGCTGTTCATTTTGGAAGAGGCCCCTCCAGGCTCTTTCAGGGACCGTGAAGCTGCTAAAGTGTCTCTCCAGTTGAAGCTTGTGATTAAAGCTGAGTGGCGTTAAGGTCGATGGCTACTCTCAGAAACCCTGACGCTGGTGCCCAACCTGGGCTCAGGTTTAGAACATATGGGAGTGAGGCAGTCCCAAGATCGTGATGATATAAATGGTCAATATGTTGTATGTGTTTGTAAAAGTCTACTGCGATATCTCCGTCTGTGTATGCACTACCTCCTGTGCTTTGGCCAAATGTCAAACATAGCTCGTGTGGAGGAGCCAGACGTCATGCAGTCTACCTCCACTGAATAAACATAGCGGACTTAATGCTCATTCCCCAGGCATGTGCAGGCTGTCTGAGGTTGTGCACGTTGGCACAGAGGAAGGAAGGGAGTCGTGAGACGGCGAGGAAGAGAGAGAGAAGAGTGGGACGAAGAAAAACGAGAAAATGAAGCGATCGCAGGCCATAATAGGGGAAAAGATACACTGAGAGATGTGAAATATTGCACTGACACTGAGAGAGAACGGCAGTGTGTTACACTTGTTGAAATTCTGCAGTTTCCTGTGTTTATATCTCAGGCCGCACGCCGTCGAGTGCTGGCGTGGTAAACCGGGGAATCAATATGACCTTTCAGGGTAATAGAGACAAAGCGAGGAAATATTTCTGTGATTTGTATTCCACACACTGTATGACTGGTTTCTGTTGACTGTAATGCACATCACTTTGATTCTTCCTGCATTTAGGGATGTTGTATTCAGTGCAAAGCCAGCATTACATGTTGGATTAAAGGGGTGTGAAATAAAATTACAGTTAAGGTATGAAACCACAAATCTACAACACTTAGCGCTCCACTGACACAGCGAAGTGTCAACCAATCATATTGTTTTGCTTCACCATGCCCCGCTCCTTCAAAAACAAAGCAATAAGCAGCAAGGACCTATTACTTTAAAGAAGCTTCGAAGAAGCAATAGGTCCTTTGAATTTTGATTGAAAATATTGCCCCGTTATTATTGTAAACTGCATATGGCATGCTAAAAAAGAAAGGCATTACAGGGCCGATGGATGATGATCTCAATGATAGACTAGATTAGGGTGTGTTTGCCCGTCATGGTTTCACGTCTGCATCACCGACACACACGCTGTCCTCTGTACTGAACGAAGCTGAGGAGAGACTGAACTAGGGCTGTACCGAATGGTTTGACGCTTCAAAGCTTCATTTATGACGTTGACATTTAAATTACTATTATTAATAATAATAACAGACAAGATACATTGCGAGCAAAGCCCACCTTCCTCTCGTCCCCTCTCTCTGTCACTCTTTCTACAAACACATAGCGGGTTGTCTGATTCCGAGTCATAATGAAATAACTTTAAGCCACATTGCTTCCAGCAACACCTTCATAATGTCGTACGTTACATATTTATATTTACCAAACAGAGCAGTGTTCTTTGAGAAGCGGTCGGCGGTGCGTTGTAACGAGCACGGAGACGGGACACGCTGCAGTCTAGAACCTAGTGCTGCTCTAAAGCCCTGCAGTGGAAACACCTTCCCTAAGTGGATGCTGTCACACTCATTAAAGAAAAAGTCCCATTCAAGGAAAGCGCAACACTAACAGCTCAAGTGCTGGTGTTTTCATGTGCTGTGAGTGCTGCAGAGGAGATTCACTGGAGCAGCTGTAGTGTGAACTGGAAAATACAAAGGAAACACACACGAGACAGTCATACTGTTCATTTGCAGTTATTTATTCCACCCTCACTGTTTCCACTTGTCAGTGATTTTGGAAGGAAGAAGAAATTGAATGTAGATAATCCCCACCACCAGTAAATCCTGTGGAATGTATCAATCTGAGACGGTACAGGTCTCACTGTTAATCTATGAGGATTATGTCTGCTGCTGTGCATGTCTATCTTGACATTGACGTAACCCGATTGCTTATTACTTGAGGAAAAGTCTTTTTAAGACGCAAATAGTTGTTAATTAGCAGGAATGTAGCACAACATTCAAATGAAAGCAGCGCTCTGTTGATTTGATTTTGGGGAAAACTTTTTGGTTTTATTTGTCTTCTAGGAGATGAACTGTGAATACGGACCGGTCTTAATTCGAAGCAAAGATTTGTAATTTAGCAGGAATGTAGCACAAAGAAGTAAAAGCAGTGGCGTTTATTTCAATGTGAAGAATTTTGCCCCTAAAATCAATAAAAACCCACAATAAATAATCTAAATATTGATGAAAATAATCAATATTACCACTTCAGCCCTAGTAGATACATACTCCACTGTTTTCTGTGATATTTAGCGTTACAGTTACGATCCCTGCGAAAGCTCCAGGACTTGGAGTGGCACTTCATTTTGCAGAACCCCGTGTACAGTCACAGTTTGCCTGCAGCTGAATCATGTGAAGCTCCTGCAGATGTTGCTGCCCGCGAGGGTTACAGAATGTAAATGAGATTCAGTGTGAGGCTGACGGAGGTGCAGAGCGGGGATGAGAGTGCTTGGGCACGGCATGTGCAGAACAGTGGCCTTAAAGCCCTGCTGCTTCATTTAAATACAGCACATGCACCTAATCCTGAACCGTGCCGTAGAATGAATGTTTGGCCTTTCATTCTCGGTGCCTTTATTTCCTCACTCAACAGGCGACAACAGTAAAAGTTGCATTTTACAAAGTCAGCCAACAGCTTCACCTTTATCCGGGTCTCTATCCAAAACACATTACTTCTCGGATGCTCTGGTGTTATGATTACCGGTTCGGCGCTGCTCATTACTTCAATTTTGCGTCAACAAAGACGAGAATAGACTCATTTACTGCATGTTTCAGCTGTTTATGTGTATCATAGTTGGAGAGATCAGAGTCACATGAGAGAGATGAGCGGTGGGAAGATGAAGGCCCTCAGCTAGAGCCTAACCCAAGATGTCACGTTTCCACGGCATGTGAGAGCACCACCTTAGTGTTTACATCCTACTACCAGTCCTGTCAGGCTGTCGGGACTACTATCTTTGCATGACTGTGTGTATGAAGACCCAGAGTTGTGCACACTGTGCTGTGAGCCTGGGATTATGTTTAATATCCAGTTTAAACGCCAAAATCACCTGTTACTCCATGGAATGTACAGGGAACAAATAATCATCAGAAGTTCAGCTGCTTACCAAAAAGTTGATTTAGCATTATTTAGAACCCCGTAATTTGAATCAATCAATCTTATCAATCACTGCAAGTTAAGATTTTAACTAAGAATTAAGAATTACAGCAACTAAGAATTACTTTAAATTCCTTCCGCAAAATTATTTAAAAATAAACGTATAACATTTAATGAAGGCTCTTATCTCTTATCTCTCATGGATGCATAAAGAGACAGAAAGTGGGAGCGAGAGGGACCACATTTCTTTAAGGTGTGGAGTTTAAACATCAACAATCTCTGCTGTCTCCATCCCATGTCGGCCTCTCTGCAGGAATATTGTTCAAATGAACTGGTTCAAAGGTTGGGGGCTGAAGTTGCTGCCATGTGTCTGACATATTGAATAGTTCTGTAGTCTGTCTTCACTAAATGTTGAACCAACCCTAAACTTATCTTTACATAAGAAACAGGTTGTGTTAGCAGGATTAACAGCAGTGTCTACATTATATTGTGA